GGGGGCTCAAAATGTACTTTTACCGTCACTGCAACCAAAGATTCTCTACTACACGATCTTTGCTGCAACCTCAAAGATCGTCTATTACCGTAGTAGATCAGAGAATCTTTGGCAACACAGGCCGCGATGCACGCGCGTCATACAGGTGTTCAAAGATCTATCACCCGTGATACCGGCGTGAGGAGATAATCATATAGACTCTCTCAGTCCCTGCCGTAATCTAAGCATAAACTCTCACAACTCGAGTAGCATTCCGCAGTAACCAGAGGCTGTTATCTTTATGGCCATAGTGATGGGAGCATAAAGGGCCCCTCTAGATATTGCTACGATGTTTGGTTTGAAATCAGGAGTAAGATTTTTATGCTTCCCCCCATCTTCTTACCCAACCTTGAGTGTACCAGCAACATGTTGTTTGGTGCTACAAAGGAGGTTATATAGTAAGGTCCTTGTATGCTACCCTCAAGATGGGGAGGATATGGCATGGTTTGGATCTTACACCCTTTTCAGCGGTGTAAGGTTATATAATGGTTCTGATGACCTCCCATTTTTAGGGCCATCTTCCATGTGACGGAGTCAAGACGATAAAGTGTCTTGAAGATATTTTAAGCATCGCAAAGTTCAAGAATTCAGAGCAGTATTTTTGGTTTGAAGAAAGAGAAGCACAACGACACAATGACCGTATTCAGGTGATAGATAAACCACAGGGAGACAGATCCCTCTGAAGCATTTTCAAAGAATCCAAGAGCGCCGTACTTGACGCGCCATTCCTTCCCTAATTGCGTAGTCCGTGCTGAATCTTACAGTCAAGGGAAATAACTGTACCGAAAACTTTCCACTGAACCAGCAAAACTCCACACAGAGGCTGTCCACTTGCAGGCCACACAAACCTGATGGGTGTGCAGAAGGCCCAATGTTGCAGGGTGGAGATAACTACAGAAGCCAATGAGACCACATAAACAGATAGCAAATAGTAATTAATGTTTTACATCAACAGAATGTCAATCCTTTAGGAGGAGGGCTGCTTCGACCAAGCCTGTCAGGGCTAACACATGGCTGAGAGATAACATTCAAGCAGACAGAGGCACTCGACTTTAAAAAAAGTACTTCCCACTCACGGGAATCGACCTCACGTCTTCTACGCGCGAGAGCCAAACACCAACCTGTACACCACTGACCAAGGTCTGTGAACCCCAAACTGCTGTTGTCGTTTCAGTGAATGTCGTCGTTGAAGGATAACATCCCGTGGGCGATTTGGACCTGACCATTGATAATAAACAGTGCTTCTGTAACTTCCAATTAGTCTTCATCTTTTTCTTTTTCCACTTGGTCTCTTATACCATGTCTGATAGGGCAACCTGTACAAAGTTTTCCTGCACGAAATGAACATACTTGCTTCTCTTTACTCAAACAAGCCATCCACGTCTAGATGCAGTTTTAACCTCTCTCTCTCCTGTGACAGTTCGTTTTGGGGCGGACCATTTTGCGCCCTTCAAAGACACCAACTTAAAAACACCCCAAGAACAATAATTCGGTCCAAACTGAAAATAGATCCCGAGCTTAATTCTGCGCTGCCACAATGGCCTGCAAGAAGGGAAACTATAGTTTTTCCTGTCAACTGAATGAGTAAGTGGTTGGAAAAGGGAACTACATTTTTTTTTCTTTATATCTCCACTATTTCTTCTGTCTGTATGCCTCGCCTTTTCCTGCTCTAAATTACTTACTAT